CCAATTTTAATGAAAACAAGCACTAAAAACACAGAAGAAACTATCGTAGAATGTAGGCCAGTCATACTCATAACTTGTGGACTGTAGGATAAATGTAAGAATTATAAATTAAAAAGGGAAGTAAACTATTTGAATATAATGTTCAGATACATTGAAAGAAATTTCTGGATGATATATTAAAAAAAAACCCTCTTATCTAGATTCAGTTGTAATGAACAATACAGCAAACACGGAGCTTGGAAATCCCTATTTCTCATCAAATGTCAGAGGCTAGCTATATGTTTTATAGAGTTATGATACTGAGATTTTTTTTTCCAGTACTGGGGATCAAATTCAGGACCTTGAGCTTGGCAGGTAGGTGTTTATGCTACTGAGCTATGTCCTTTGTCCCAATACTGAGACATTAAAGGGCTCTATGTTTAGTTGTATCCTAACACGTGGTTACAGTAGACTTCAGTGTTGGTTAAGTGGTTCAGAAAGGCAGGGTATGTACCAAAAAGAATGAATCCCAAAGACACTGTTTGGGCTAGAAAGAGTAGTGAGTTATGAGACAGACCAGAAGAACAAGGTATGCATATGGGAAGAGTATGATAAACGTACGAAGCAAAGGAAGAGCACCTGAACAAAATTTTAGTGTCACGAAGTACCAAGTACCAAATCCAAAGTATTTCAAAGCAGTCAGCTAGCAAAGAATGACTGCATTTCTCCTGGAAGTAAATCATCTAATTTGTGCATTTCTGCTTGACTTCATTTACGTATGAGGCTCTCCTTTCAGGGCTAGCTCTGAGCCTGGCAGAGACTGTGATGGATGAGGCTGGAGAACTGCACTGTGCTGACCATGTTGCCCACTCTCCGCTGGTGCCCTCCCTTAGTTTATTGAAAACTAAGAAGTGCCCTGACCATGGGGATTGATCTGATGGTCTCAGCTGGCTTTGAAAGTAACATCTCCATTTCTCGAACTTCTGAAATTGGACTTAAAAGAAAGTCTCCCACAAAAGTGTAACACAGTATTCATAAGAATTGGATATTCACTGAAAGAAAAATTAAGCCCACATTTAAGAAGTAAAAGATGGAAATCAAAACACAGACAAGCATGATTAGAATGAAAATGACTTCCATGTTTATGTTTGTAGACAATATAGTTATTTACAAATAATCCATATGAAAATGTAAAAAAGCATATTACATCTTCACATGCCACCAGTATTAACTGAAAAAAAACCTCAGTGACATTATTTGCAAATCTGTACTTAATTGTACATAGACATCTTGTGCATTAAAAAGAAATGTACATAATTCAAAATAAATTACATTACACAATTTACAAAGTAATATTAACAAAAAACCCTCATAGACAGCTGCCTCCTTATTTAAACAAAATAAATATTTTGGTAGTTAAATTAACAAAAAATACACATTTAGGAGATTGTGGTTCATAGAAAGAGATAGATTGCAAATTTAATAAATTTATATTTTACAGTAACAGATACTGATCTCTTCAAATGTCTGATAAAAACCATCAGGAAAAGGTACCAGAAATGGAATCTAAATAATTACTTTTGAAAACTGAACACAAACAGATCCCTGGAAAACATCTAGAAAAAGCTTATTGATGCTTCAAAGTAGATATTCTAGAAAATATTACAAAAAGAAGAAAACCCTACCCAACACAAAGACAAAAGCTGACGATAATAAAACATAGCTATATTCTCAACAGAATAAAGAGTTTTCATCACTGGAAACATGACTGTCATGAACTAAAACTCTTCAGGTACTGCCTGGCTTGTGATCTGGATTGGTAGAAGCACAAACAACAAATAATAACACAAACATCCCACAAAATTAACTCTATTCATTTAACATTTGTTCAATTCATTTAGTAACGTAGACGTAATCATTCCTCGGTGTACCTGCTAGGTATAGATTTTTCGGTTCACACCACAAAAGCCTTTTCTTAAAAGAAAAATCACTTGTGAGGCCCACCCTCCAGCTCAAATTGCTGCAGTCTTGACTGAACCAGGGCCGTCTGAGAGCAGGGTCAGCTGGTGCTGTAGTTAACAAAACCGGCAAATGCAGTTCTCGCATCTCAATTAGACCCACAAAGACCATTTTCTGCAAGAATCTTTACAAATGTGTGGAAAATGTCTTTCTAACACCCTCAACATTAGAAAGGAAATAGGACAAGAAATGCATCTGGGTTTGGCAATACTTTTACAAATATGGATATCCCATAGAATTTGGGATACGGGTTTCCTGCAAATTTGTTGAGATCCCAAATCCACTAAGCAGGGGCTTTCGTTTCTGTACAATATTGAAAGGCACAGGTATCCTTCACTGTCTTGCAAAGCAGGAAGTAAAGAAGGATATGAGATGGACATAGAAGGAATAAAAAGATACTGGTTAGTAATAAATCAAGTGTAGGAAATATTTTTATAGAAAAAAATTTGTCATTGATTTTGCTGTGCCTTCAACATCTTTCCTTTGCCCTTTAATTATTTCCTTGACCAATCCATTCTGCTCCAATCAAGATGTTCATACTCTGACGATTTGAGTCCAATAGGAAAGCAATGTAAATATTCTCCATTACTGTTCTTAGGCAAACTCGAGCACTCTGCGTGGAAGGTAATCCAGAGAGAAGTAGCCAAGAGTAGACACTGCTGAGACCACAGGGAGATAGAAACCCAGCAGAGAAATCATCATTAGAAGAACATGAATATAATTATTGAGGAGGTTAATAAATGCGTGAAAGGTACTACTTGCTCATGTTGAACTCCTCAGAGCATGGCCCCGGACATTTGTGTTACGTATGGAAAAATACTAGCCATACTTACAAACAAGTCTAGAATAAAGGGCAGTGTGTTTAAGTGCTCTTCTTACTCCATAAGCCTTTTCCTTCTTTTGAATGTCTGAAACATCTATTTACGCAAAAGCCATTACTAATTTTTATAGTGCCTAGGAAAGTGTCTTACGTGTGATAGTTCAATAAATACTTGATTTATTATAAGTAGTTTGTGCTTCATTATAGCAAAGACATACTTTTATGCATTCCTTTCTTTTACACTGTAGCATCCTCAAACAGGCATTAAAATGGATTAGTGCCAATGTATCTGATTAGGTATCGATAAATAAGCAAAGCAGCCCATTTCAAGAAGGATCAGTTATGCCGCTTCTGTATGGTTCCAACGGAAACAGTCCAACCATTCCACACTGTGCCAATATTTTTCTTTCCTTTTCCCTTCTTTTAAATTAATAGACCATCGTACTTACAGAACAGTATTTCTAAATCCTTTTGAGCTCATGGATGATTTTGGTAAGGCAAAATGTAGATAGACAAGTTACGGTCCTGAGCTGGGTGAATGAATAGGAAAAGAAACATTTTGATGAAGTTCTGGCAAAGTATTTAACTCATGATGAACCAGGAACAAAAATAAGGTCTTTCTCATGTTATAAGCATGAATAGTAACCTCTCACTCGTCCAAACTAGACAGATCGCTGCAGAGTCTGCTCATGTTTGTAACAAGAGGATATCAAGTTTTGATTTATCCTTAAAAGGAGTCCCAGTAGGTTCTCTGTGCTAGGTTGCATTGAATCCAACATCTGCATATGTATAGAGTGCTACAAAATGTAAGCAATTGATGAACTAAAGCATCTTACATTTTCATAAGATTTTATAGTTTTGATTTCTAAGTCCATCTAATTCTTACAAGACAGGTCAGATAATAGTGATTTGTCTTCTGAATCAATGACATTTTTAATATTCTAAGCATAGCTTCAATTGGAATCATGTTTTATGGCAGTGTACATTACAAATTGTTAGGTGTCTCACTCATTTCTTAAGACACATTTTCAAGTAATTGTAATAGATTCTCAGCCATTTTGAACTAATGAAGTCAAATTTCAGTCAAAGAGATCAACTTGAGAAATATCTGGAAGTGTATATACTGACAATCAATTTTTAGATTAACAATAATATTTTTTTGCTCTTCAATAAAAGAGATGAAGTGGATTTTGTTTTTCCTTGATTAGCTCCTTGGCTTATAATAAAATTCTTATCTTTCTGATACTTGTTCTCTTTGAAATGTTTTTCAAAGGCCTAATATATTGAATACTGGATTAAGGATAAATGCTTGCCTCATTTCTCATTGAAATAGGTAGAAGTATTTCTATTTTAGGGACAATGACATCCTAACTGATGTTTTATCATCTTTGTAAATATCCTAACCTACAGCAGGGGGAGTTCAAACTCCACTGTGAACTGTGCAAAGGAAAAACATAATTTAAAAATATTTCACTGTAACACATCCAAGTTAAGATGAAATAATTTGTGGCTACTTTTAAAAGACCTAAAAACCTCAAGATCTTGCCCTTTCAAAGACTCTTGTAGTGTTGCCTGAAAAATTTCACTGCTTTCTTTCTTTTCCTTCCTTCCTTCCTTCCTTCCTTCCTTCCTTCCTTCCTTCCTTCCTTCC